TCCGACCACCACCAGCTATACTAATTGCATTATACAAAGCAGTCACACCTATACCAGCAACATCATTCACATTTGCCAACATTTTATTGACAGGAGCCATTTGTCTATTCGATCTCATGTAGTGACGCATACTCTCAGGAATCATGTCATGATTATGCACATCATACCACTTATAAATCTTATAACACTTAAACTCCTTAAACCACCTAATTCGAATGTAGGCACCATCACATCCACCCCTGATTTCTGGAACACGATGGACCCGAGCCTTCACATCAATAGAACCACGATTAGCAGAATTATTCTCACTACCAATCCTCCAGCCATCCTTATTGAAACAATACTTAATATAATAACCCGCATTTGAACCATTATTAAGCTTCGGACATGCCGACTGATGGTAAATCCTCACAGCAAATCCTTTATAACGAAATAAAAGAATACTACAAAAACCACCATGGTATTATAAGAAAAAATTATTCCAATCACGAACTATATACAGGAACATAAAACCACAACAATTATAATAACAATCTATAACAAAAAAAGCACAACACTCATATGCTAAAATACCCATAAAATACCAGTATGGTATTTTATGGTATAACACATATACAGAAACATAAAATCACAACAGTTATAATAACAATCTAGAACAAATAAAACACAATACTCTTAAGCAAAAATACCATAAAATACCAGTATGGTATTTTATGGTCTTGTATGGTATAACATATATACAAATTTCAACTTACCAAACACATTTAAAATTCTTACCTCCCGATTCAACAACGCTCTGAGAAGAACTAGATCTAGCATTAGATTCATTCAAAGAAACAATGACGCCTTAATTAAGATCACTCATTGCACACAAAAAAAACTGAGTCAACAGAGAAGATTCAAAAGATTCCTGCACAAAACATAAATTTAACTACGAATCAATCAACCGAACAAAAAACGCAGAACGAAAAAGAAAAATATGATCAAACTTATACACACAGATCACCAAGAACAGAAAACAGAGAGAACAAAAAAGAAAACGCTGATAAATCATATATACACAAAATAAAAAACAAGCAACAACCAGCCAACAACTTCAACACAAGAAAATCGCGCCAAAACCTCGAGCAAGAAGAAGAAAAGAGATGAAGAAAACCTAACAACTAATAACTTGAAAGTCTGCCGCCGATTAAGCTAAGAATCGCGTCCTCCATCGACCTTCTCGCCATCGACTAATCCTTCGGAGAAAAGCTCTCCATTGCTCTGTTTACTTCTCAATCTCTCTCATAAATCCAATTCCAGCTCGGTCAAAATAACCAAAAAGTTATAAAGAGGGAAAGAAATAAATTCAAATAATGGACAAAAATAACCCTGCCCCACCCCGCTCCGACCCCAGCTGTTAGATCTCCCCGCTCCAGATCGACGCCCCCTGTTGGGTTACTGACGGGTGCATAACCATGGCTTATGCACCCTATCTTGGACCATGGAGACCAATTAACACACAACATCATGCCCGAATGGTTTAACGACCCGATATAGAACACTTACTCTGTACCGCATGCATGAAACGCCATTTTCCTTTTGCAAATACATAGATTAACAACGAATGACAATTTAATGTCGATCAAGACAAATTTAGCATACGCGAATACTAATAAGATTCTTTAAAATTGTTGTGCAAATTGTTCACGTATACTATTTTCTTGCAACATAAGCAAATACATAAGATTAAGAAAAACATGCAAAGACACATGCAAGCGTCCTAGCCGATAGAATTCACTATCTCCCCTTAAAGAATCTTATTCCCGTCTAGTACCCATGGTTATGGAATGATTCCTCCCATGATAGAAAGGACGTACCTTTTCCGGCGTAGCGGTACCTCAAACCCCGGAATCCATCGAACGCAGCGAACCAGCGAGAACCACACTTGACTCGATTTTCTCTTTGAAAAGAATGAAGAATAATTTTGGCAGAATTTTGGTACCGGAAAAAAACCATGTCAAAACCAGAGGGGGTTAGGTGCTATTTATAGAAAATGAAGGGGTGCGTACGAAGGGAGGCGACTCTTCATATGGGTGGTTACACCCTAACCAACACATTAGTTCGTTATTAAAATAATGAACCATTGCATCGGTTCGGCCTATGGTAGTTGGACCGGTTTGGTTATTCCAACCGCCATATTAGTTTGGTTAGATTTGGTTCAACTCGGTTTGGTTTGGTCCATTTGGTACACAAACCAATTTAACCAATTAACCACATATTATATCAAATCGATCGAATTTGAGGTCGTGCCTTCCCACATCTTACCAACATGGTACTTGAAGAGACTCTTGAAACTTTTCCCTTTCATTTCCATTCACACCACTAAAAACCCAACAGGAAAGAGAAACGAAATTAACGTTCTGTGGATACCCCGGACTACATCGCTAGATCAAATCACTGTGGCATCTACCGACCATCCACTAACACCGGAGAGACTAACCGAATTGGCAGTTGCGAGGGCCATAATAGACTCCTCTGTTTCCAGCGCCCCTGTCTCCGGCCGAACATGAGATGTCGGAGGACCCGCCTCCAGTATTATCACACGCGGCGATTTTAAAGGCAAACTGTTTAAAGATGTTGTCTGCCCGCACATGCCATACCAAATGGAAACTCATTGTCAGGTCTCTGTTTTCACCGCCTTGGGCTCCGGCGAGACTTGAGTCACTGGTGAAATTTTTCCCAAGTCGATCTCCTGATTAGGACTCACTAGCGATGTATCATTCAGGATAACCTCCTGAACTGGCCCTCCTTCTATCTCCTGCGATAGCGGGATTAAGAATCGTCAGCCTACATATTTTTGAATTTTCCATTTCTTATACGGATCCCCGCTACTCTTTTATTCCATCGATTGACCATATCCAGACCCAATTGAGCAGGTCTTCAAGGTATGATACATACCAGATCGCTTAAGTTTTCGATCCTATCTAAGAACTTGACGACAGTCCCTATCTATTCGAGCGAGATGGGCTTTCTCATTAGGTCGTTAATGGTCAGAGGAATCCATTAACCAATGCACTTCCGGCGTCCTGTTCCCAGCACCACCAGGTCGACGATCGCCAGGCACGAAGAACCGATAAATCCTCCGGCTAGCACTAGAATACGCCATCAACATACCTAGAGGGCTCTCCAGAGCAGCGAGAGAGAACCCATTCCCCCCCCCCCCCCCCCCCCCCCCCCCCCCCCAATGCTTGTTGTTTTAAAGGGATGTCCATTGAGTCATCGAATTTGTAGCTCTTATACCATGTAAAAGCTAGAAAGATGTGTTGCTTGCCCCTACTAGCGCCAACATAAAATAAATTACTTTGAACGTTACTTATCACCGAACATGTATAAGTATTAAGATACATGACAAATGTGCCCCATTGCCATTCCCACTACCGGTGGGAGAATGAGGAGCATATCTCTTGTATAACTTAAGAGTGCATAACCATGCATAATCTGTCATATCAGTGCAATATCATCATTTATGGAAAGTCTCTAACTTTTTTTTCTATAAATTTTAACAAGCTGTATCTCTTTCATTTTAAGTTGTAATAAATTTTTTTACACAGATAAATCAGATTAATTATGCTTTTCAAAATGATATAAGATTAACAGGCTACATCTCTTTCAGATTAACAGGCTATATCTCTTTCATTTTAATTTGTAATAAATTTTTTCCTATAAATTTTAACAGGCTATATCTCTTTCATTTTAAGTTGTAATAAATATTTTTACACAGATAAATCAGATTAATTGTGCTTTTCAAAATGATATCCACTTTGATATAATTTGGAACAAAAAAATAGACATTTATAACTAGTTTATACCATGATGGTAATGCTTGGTATTACAAAAGATTATACCACGTGGTATGTAAGTGTACGGTGTACCATACTGGTTTAAACATATCAAAGCGTATAATGATTGAATACATGATAATAAGAAGTGTTGTTGAAACCAGACTGGGCAATAATCCGGATAAGCGAGAGGTTTAAGATTTATCGGATAACCGCTAATTAACTGGTATAAAACCGATCATAACTCGCAATCCTAAAAAATTGTAAGGAAACTAATATTTGTAATTAGTTGCTAAAAATGTGAACAACTTAGTGTAAGTAGAAACTTAATTAATTAGTTCAAAGACGGAAAGGAAGTTAAGAATTTTGAAAATAGAGAGGTGGCAGATTGGGAAAGTAATCAAAAGGAAAATAAACCTTTCTTCTTCTTCCATAATTTCCTTTTAATTTTTCTGACAAAATCGTGACGAAAACATTAAAGTTTGACTAAAATCGTCGGTCCGGGTCAGCCGGTTTTGTCAGTTAACCGGCAAAACCGGTTACTACCTGGCCGACCAATATTATGTGCATTTTGATGATATCGAAACCAGAAGTCTGTTCGGATCTGGGTTTTCCCGGTTGACCCGCTCGGTCCGGTTTGGTTTTGATAACCATGATAATAAGAATACACGAACTGTCATTTACTATATTCATCATTGTTTACCACCAGTTACCATATGCGTGATACATTTTGGTCCTGCATTTTTTTAAAAAATTTGTAGATCCTATAAGTCAGGATGTACTCGTTTCATCTATGCAAAAAAATTCGAAATTCGAGTTAAAAACGAAGATAGTACCAATGTGGTAACGAGTGATATGATTTTTTTCCCTTCGAAAGATATCGAAACTGAATTTCATTTTGCGGATCACAGTGAACTCGTTCAATCTATTAAAAAAATTTGAAATCCAAATTTGAAAAAATAACAGCCAATTAAAAAAACTATAAAAAATAAAAAAACATATTAATTCTCACCCTTTATGATCTGAATTTTCTAACCTTCCTCAAAACTAAGAGCCCTAATTTAATTATGAAAAAGATAGCCCAAATTTAATTTGAAGCGGAAGAAGGGTAGCAGAACAGCGGAGCCGTGTAGTCTCGAAGAATACTCTGAGCTACTGATCCAAAAGAAAAGGAAAAGGATGAGCGGTGGAGGCAGTCGCCGCGGTGGTGGCGGGGAAGGAGACATTCATGCGGCGGCGAGGTCCGGTGATCTTACTGCACTTCAGTTACTCCTCGGCTCAAATCCGCTGGCTATTAACTCTAGAGATAAGCACTCTAGAACCCCGTATCCTTCCCGCCTGAGCATCTTGATGCTCCCAATTTCGCTTTCTCAGTTTTCTGGTTTATGCTTCTCGTCATACTTGTTCTTGTGGAAATTTATGGCCTAAATTCCAGGCACTTGCTCAATTTAGTAGATAAAGTCCAAACCCTAGGTGTTTCTGACTGCTGTATGCGTAGCGAAGCTTGTCAATTATTTGTGTCATAGAGGTGAAGTTTACGGGGATATCATGATCCAGGTCAAAACTGTTTTGCTCACAGTCCCCAATTTCTTACCGAGTTACGATTTTTAGGGTTTAGGTTGCGGCTTGAGAAAAAAGAATCGTGACGTTTGCTATCTCTGTATCCAGTTGCCATGGCATTCTCTCCTCTTTACATACATAGTCTGTTCAAATTGAATGTGTTTAGGAAAACTTTGCTATTAAGCTAGTTAGTTCGGCAGTTCTTTTCTGCTGGATTATGATAAAGCCGCTTGATAGTAGGTTATTTTCTTGGCTTGCTGGGTCCTGCCATTGAAAAATTCATATTCATTGCGTTGAAGATAAATGTCTGCCTTCACTTGTGTGAGTTAGGTTTTTCTTTAGTAGAGGAAATGTTTTCTTTGTTTGCTTTAAAGGTCAAAGAATGGTTGGTGGGATTATTATGAAAGGGGTTGGCTTGGAATCACATTCGGTAGTTTTGATAGAGGAATTTATCTTCGTAACAGTTATCATTTATTCTTTGTCTGCGTTTCCTTCCATGAGAATTCATCACTTGTTATCCTAAGGCTGTCCTCTTTCTTTCTTGCTTGCTGTAACTTAGGGAAATAAAACTTGTTCCTAAAACAAAGACGCAATGCTGTTTCCTTGACTCACACATCATAGCTTGCATTTGGCAGCATGGGCAGGGCATGCACAGGTAGTAAGTTATCTCTGCAAGCATAAGGCTGATGTTGGTGCTGCTGCCATGGATGACATGGGAGCAATTCACTTTGCGGCCCAAAAGGGTCATTTAGAGGCTGTCCGCAGTCTGGTTCAATCAGGAGCTTCCATCAAAGCATTCACGAGAAAGGGACTTACTCCACTCCACTACGCTATCCAAGGTTCACACCTGGAGCTAGTCAAGTATTTGATTAAAAAAGGTGCAGACCTTAACGTGAAGACGAAGGCTGGAAGGACCCCTCTAGATATTGCGGAAAAAGAGGATATACGCTTGTTCCTTGAAGAATCCGAACGTTCCTCAAAGACAGAGAACACAAATCCTAAAATGAAGGCTGGTGGCCAGTCAGATTCCGAGCCATTGGCTGAAAAAGATAAACCAGACGAATCCAATCCCGAAGCTGCTGCTGCTGCTGCTGCTGCCAGTGAGCAAGATGAGGAGGGGCAAGAAGAAGGGGTTAAGAGGAAAGTTGAATCCAAGGGAGATAAAGGGGAAGCTGCAGTGCATCCTGTGACAAAACGCCCGCGAGTAGCACTTAACCATCTTCACACTGCGGATGACACTGAAGAAGAGGAGACCTAGCGAGGATGAACAATACTGAAAGGAGGAGTGCAGAAAAGCGAAATCTTATCAGCTTACATCTCAAACTAGCACTACTTTGTTAATTTTGTTTGTAACGAGCTTGACTCTGACCTTTCAGAGTGATTTTGGAATCTGCTTGTTAAACTCTGATGTTCCACAGTACTGGAACTTGTGGAAGCATTTACCGGAAGGTTCCGAAAGGAAGGGACGAGTTGTATTATCAGGCAATGGATCTCCATTAATTGCATTTCGAGCGTTGACAATGTTACTATCTATGTCGTATGTGAGTTTATCGGAGGTTATATCAAACAAGTTTGTAATAAGGGTTTTGGTGATACGATTGTGGTTTAACAGTGTAAAATAGATTTTGGAATAGATTTTTTTGTAACGAACAATAATATGCTACCGTACCGGAAGAATACTAGAATTACACAAGATAGTAAATAGTCCTAGAATAACATACCATTCAACAAAGAAGCACCTAAGTTGAGTAGAAGCTTGTTGTTGGTTAATTGATTGGCTTGGAGTCTTGGGTTCAGAAGAGAGCTTGTTGCTTTCCACTTGTGAACACTCGTTTATGAGAGGGTTAAGACAAAGAGCAATGAGGTGCTTTTTCTTAGAAGCTCCATTGGTGCCCTGGCCGCCAATTCTGTTTCTTTTGTGTCGGAAAATGGGGAAAAATCTAAAACTCCCACTGTTTAAAAAAAATTACAAAAATACCACCCATTTCCAACAATTTCCAAAAATACCATCGTTTATATAAAACCGCACCTCTAATGAGCGGTTTGCAATAGAACCGCCTTGCCAAGAGGCGTTTTTAATTTTCAGCAAAAACCGCTTCTGGAAGGCGCGGTTATATACTAACCCTACCACAAAACGCTTCAAGAGGGAGCGTTTAAATGTCGGCATTATAAACCGCTCCACGAGGCGGCGGTTTACCATGTCCAGACATAAACCGCTGCCCCAAGGCGCGGTTTGTGCCTGGTCACCCGACAGCAAACATGTCGGACATGTCGGCATGCAGGGGGTGGGGCTGCATGGCAGACCTAACCCCCCCTCACCCCCCCCCCCCCCCCCCCCCCCCCCCCCCCCCCCCCCCCCCGCGGTTTTGCTGCAAAATTTGCCTATAAAAGGCTGTTTCAGAGAACTAAATTTCTTCACACTCCTCCTCTTCCTTCTTCAAATTTCAGCTTTGCACCTTTAAATTATTTAGTTTTTTCGATTAACGTTAATTCTTAAGTTTGTTTTGTATTACTTTTCATTGTCCTTTGTGATTTTATGTTAGTACCTTAATTACTTTTCATTGTCCTTTGTGATTTTATGTTAGTAACTTGTATTACTTTTCATTGCAGATGACATTCCAAAGGTTCACGCTTGGCTTGCGGTGGAATGGTTACACGGAACAGACCGAAAAGGGTGTAAGTTACGTCAGTGGCAATTTTTATAAAATGAAGGTCCGTACGAGACCGATGCTTGAAGAGCTCCATCAAATGTGCACTCAGATTACCTGCATGGATGGCACTAGAAGAGTTGATCAAATGGTGTATCGATATCCAAACAGACATGACGGGTCGCTGTGGAATGAGGATTTCCTCCTTACCACTCAGGAGGACGTTGATGCCATGGATACTTGGCCCTTGGACAATGGTGGATGACCATCCGCATCATGATCTCCCTTTTCTGGAGGACACAACCCGGTGACCGTCCATATAAAATGCTGCCAACCACTCATATTGGCAACAACTTTAGGTGGTGGCATAGAGTCCACATAAACAACATCGCCATCGATGGGCAGATCGGTTAGGATGGCGATGTCCTTAAGTGTGATGGTGCACTCGCCTTCACGAAAATTGAAGTAGTGTGTCTCCTTTCGCCATTTCTCTAACATCGCCGTGATGAGTTGGCGGTCGATCTTGATTCCATTAAAATGCCTAATCGAATCCAATCTTGCCCGTTTTAGAAAGGGCAAGATGAAGTCGTTTCATTCAAGCACATGTCGTGCCCCTATAGCAGACTATATGGTATGCATCCTAGAGAAGAATTTAAATTTCTTTTTTTGATGAATCGATTTACTTTCATTCCATCAAAAAGCAGCGCTGGCAACACCCTTGCCAGCTAGGGAAAAATGGGAACAGAAGAAGAGGAATAATTCGACAGTATAACTATAGATCTATCAACCAAACAAGACCAACCCTACTACCTATGGAAGCACTTTACTCGGGGGTAAAAGACCTGAAGAACTAGGTACCAGAATCCCAGAAACGCACCAACTCTAAAGGGTCATTAATCAACACAGAAACTTCACTCTTAATCATCTTGACCAAAGCTTCAGGAGTCCGCTTCTGATCACCAAAAGCCCTCCTGCATCGCTCTCTCCACACATGGCTCACCATAGACTGCCAGATCAGCCTCTCCTGCATTGCAACCACTGTTTTAGCACCAAGCTTTTGAGTAGCCCAGCTTAGATTCTCCTCCCAGCTCTGTGGAAGAAAAACACAAAATCTCCCCAGCAACTGCTGATGAATAACAGAGTAATAGGGACAGACAGAGAACAGATGGTCCCTTGTCTCTCCAACCTGATCACAGAGGAAGCAATAATCAGAGCCTACAAATCCCCATTTCTTCATCTTGTCTTTAGTTTGGATTTTGTTGAGTATAATAAGCCACGTTAAGAATCTGTTTCTAGGGATAGAGGGCCCCTTCCAAAGAAGCTTATACCAGCTTACTCTGCTGTGTTTTGTTCTGACAGATTCCCATATCATTTTAATGGAGTATTTCTTCATTGATTTGTCATCCTAGTTCAGCACTCCTTCCTTCCAACTAAATAGGTTGGGTATCTTGTTTCTAATTTTCAGCAACCTCCCCCAGTTCTATGATCCACTAATATTAACATTCCAGAAGTGCCTGCCTTTCAGCTTGTAAGCTTTGACCCAAGCAACCCACAGTGACCCTTGTTGCATCATGACCGCCCAAATCTGCCTGTAAACACAAATATAATTCCAGGAAACCAGATCCCTCAGACCCTGACCTCCTTCTTTTTTTGGGATTGCCAAGTACTTCCATGCCATCTTAGCTCTAAGTTTGAGACCAGGACCAACTGACCAGAGGAAGTTACTACAGATTCTCTCAACCTCCTGAATAACCACCTTGGGAAGCATAAACACACTCATCCAGTATCGTGACATGCTGTAAAGTACTGACCCCACTAGTTCTACTCTACCTGCATAGCTCAGGGACTTTGCCTTCCAACCCTGCACCCTCTTTGTGATTTTATCAATTAGAGGCTTACAGGCATTTACTGTCAACTTGCCTGCCACAAGAGGAACCCCAAGATAACGAACTGGGAATCCCCCAAGCTAATACCCATATCTACTAGCTCCGACTAGCATCTCCCCCTTATCCAAACCACCAAAAAATATTTCACACTTGCTTGGATTGGATTGAAGCCCTGATAACTTGTGGAACTCACTCAAGACCCTTTGAACACTCTGAATCCCATAATTTGACCCATCAGAGAATACCAACAAATCATCAGAGAAGCATAAATGAGTCATGCCTATTCTCTTACACATAGGATGATAGGGGAACCTGCCTTTTTCAGCTTCCAAGTCTAAGAGACAGGAAAAAAACCTCCATTGCTACAGCAAAAAGTATGAGGAAAGGGGGTCTCCCTGCCTCAGACCTTTCTTGGCAGGAAAGTACCCACCAGACCCTCATTAAAAGCAATACTAAGCATTGGAGACACACATTCTGATCCATCTAATAAATTGCAAAGGCACACCCATGGCTTCTAACACCACATAGAAGAACTGCCAGCTAACTGAGTCAAATGCTTTCATAAGGTCAATTTTAAGAGCAGATCTAGTAGAAATATTCTTCCTAGAATACTTATGCACTAACTCATGAACTAACATGATATTTTCACCAATGACCCTTCCTTTCACAAAAGCTGTCTGGTTCTTACTGATAACAAAAGGAAGAAGAGGGCTAAACCTATTTGCCACAATCTTAGAGATGCATTTATAAACTATATTGCAACAAGAAATGGGCCTGAAAAATTTCATCTCATCCAGAGCTTGGATTTTAGGAATCAGAGTTAAAATTGTAGCATTTACCTCCCTTGGAAGATTCCCTGTCACAAAACAGTTCTGAATAGCCTTTGTGATTTCTGCTCCAAAAACATCCCAAGTAGCCTGAAAGAATCGAGCATTAAATCCATCTGTCCCGGGGCTCTTGTCTCCATTGAATCCAAATATAACCTCTTTAACTTCAGCAGCAGTGATAGGAGCACAGACAGAGGATACTTGTTCAGAATTGAGCTTATGTCTGAGAATGCCCTGAAAAAACTCAACTGACTCAATCACTACATGTGGATTTTCTCTTCCTAGCAGGTTTTTATAGAAATCAATTGCAACATTGCACATGCCCTCAACCAAGTCAACTATGTTACCCTGAGCATCTTTAAGAGAAGTGATAGTGTTTCTCTTTAATCTAGTTCTCATTGACCTATGAAAGTATCCTGAATTTGAGTCTCCAAGCTTTAACCACAACTCCCTTGACTTCTGCCTCAGAAAGATTTCCGCAGCCTTAAGCAACTCAAAGAGTTCTTTATAAACTCTGACTTCATCCTCAAAACTCCCTTGAGAGGGATTAGTTAGGGCTAACACTTGAACTGATTCCAATTCTCGTTCCTTATCCTTCACTCGCCCCCTGATATCAAAGTATTCCTCCCTATTAAGTTTCTTGAGCAAACCTTTCAGAATCCTAAGCTTTTTATAAACCCGGATAAGAGGAGAACCTGTCACCACTTCCTTCCAAGCCTGGTTAAGCAACTCGGCAAACATTGGATGCTCAAGCCAGAAATTAAAAAATTTAAATGGCTTAGGCAAAGACTTCAATGGCATTTCAGTTTGAATAAGCACAGGGCAGTGGTCTGAGATTCCTGGGGACTGAGTATGCAAAACACTGTGTTCCATTGCATCCAACCACTCCACATTAAC